TACTTATTTTAAGAAAAAAACGACTTATCTAGATTTCAATTTTTTTCCAGTGTGGATTATAGTAATTAAAAGACACATTTTGCCAATGGAACAAAACAATTTACACTTAAAATAAGAAAATGCAATTGTATTGTCTTATTTTGAGTGCATATTATCTAATTATCTTATATTAAGAGTAAAAACACTCTTTCTATTGGCAAACCATCTCATTTACCTACTCAAATTAAGCGGTCATACACTTAATTTAGGAAATATTGACTTATTTCATGATCGTTTTTGCAGTGCATGCCTGTTTCAACTGCTTAGAAACAAATCCTCATTATTAGAGACAAAATTTTAAAGTTTCAAAATAGTCTAAAAGATACTCCATGAGTTTAACTTCAATCATCCTGCCATTTAAACTCAGAATCACAGCTGAGATGATGTAAAAGAGGAAGAAAGAAACAGAGAGGAGGTTGATTTCATGAGAGAAAAAAAGCCTGCTGAATAAAACAGCTTCACATTTAACTCCCCCTAAATTTCTTCTCACCTCGCGGAGCCGAGTTTCCAGCTCCAGCACGCGGCTCTTGTTGCTCTGCTCCTGCTGACTCATTTTCTCGAGATGCTCCTCCAGCTTGGCGTTCTGGGCCTCCAGCTTTCCAGCCTGAGACTCCAGGTAAAACTTCTGCTGGCGAAGCTCCGAGATCATCTCTTCCTGGGCTTTCCTGATGAAATCAAACAAAGATTGCTTTCAAAGAAGGCCTTATATTACAGTAAAGAAATCTGAGTAGCTTATCTAATAGTGAGAACGGGTTAAGGCGTGTTTTTATTCATATACTCACATGTTTTTCTGGGTATAGATGCTGCTGTTAGCTGCTAGTTTATTGGCCTCTGACAGCTCAGCAATCCTCTGCTCCAGGCTGTTCATCTTTGAGTCCATTGCATTGATAGTCTGAACACAGACAAACATTCTAAGTTCTACAGAAGTTGCATTTGACTCCATTTGGATTGAGGCTCATTTTTAGACTTTTTTTTTTTTTTTTGTTTTCCAAATGTGAAATCTGTGTCAGTATGATCAATGTTAAAATAATCCTGAGAATAGAGTGGATGCCAGGCCGGTCGCTGCTTACCGCCTTCTGTTCACTGATGATGCTGCACTTCTCCCGCACCTCCTCCTCATATTTGCTCTGACTGGACTCCAGCATCTCCTTATCGGCCATGTCCGCCTTCATCTGAGCCTCCAGCACCTGTTCAATGCCAGCCAGCCCACAGAACCACAACCAGGATGTCACTTAACGGGACAGAGAGCGGCGTGAACATGACATAGTGCAGATTGTCCAGGCACAAAGCAAACCCACAGCTGGCCGGGCCAAAACAGGCAGCAGTGAGAGGCTTACCTACTGTCACCACGACTGAATTTGAACCGGTGACAGTCAGTGAAATACTTTGAAAATCACAATTTCAAGCCAATAGTTTTATTGGATTCCAGGACCAGACCTTATTACCTTTGTAACATTCGAAAAATATGGATAATTTGATGGTAAAAATGAATGAATGTCAATGTAATAACAAGAAACGCCAACTTGCCCGAATATATTAAGAATAATAACAAAAGTGCTTCTATAATTTTTTCAATTTTTACAGAATGCTTCTATAAGAAATTCATAAAAAACACACTTTTTTTTTTGGTCCAACATAACCTTATAGGCATTAATGCTGATACTGGCACTTACATTATTTAGTTTATAAACCTAAACATAATTGTTAACTAGGCTCATTATCTTTTAAACTTTACCTTTAAACTTTTCAATTAACTTTTTACCATTTTTCTTGAGTTGTTGTTTTTAAAACTTAATTTAAAGTAAGTAATATATCATTCAACGGCTCATCTAATTGGTCAAAATAAGATTTACAGCCATGTAGCATTTTCTCTAATTCTTAGATTCAAACAGACCTAGATGAACTAGAATAGTCTGCACATCAGCAAACTCTTATTCTAGATGACCTTTGACCTCTCCTTATTAGAAGTCCATTAAAGCTGCTAGCTTTTGTGGCACATTTAAGCATCGTCCATTCATGAATCCTTAGCCTGAGGCGGCCCAATCCAAACGCTAATGTTAAGCTAATTTATTCATTTCGATGTTTGTTTGGGTTCATGATCCTGTTGGAAAGCCCAGGCTGTCCAGGTATCAACTATCTTACTGGAAGTGTTAACCTCAGAGGAGAGAACAACAGTTAGCTCGACTAAAGAAACCCAGGAACTAAACGGGAGCTTTCTGGAACACCAGTGTAATATGAATCTGGTGAACTGTAAAGTGCCGTGAGATCACGTGTTGTGAATTGGCGCTATATAAATAAACTGAATTGAATTGAATCCAAATATCGGAACCTTTTTTTCTCTCTCTGGGCTTTCTTTCTTCCACCAAAGCTCCATCTGGCCTGATGTTCAGTACAGCTGAAGGGATGCCGCCGGCTGGCTCTCTGCTGCAAACAACATCACATTCTTCCTTTCTCAATGTTCCACTTGCTCCTAAACTTTGGCTCTGAGCTCATCTGTTTAGGCCTCTTTTAGATCGAGCCACAAAAGAGGTTTTTCAAACTATAAACCGTCTGCTTTTCTCCCACAGAAAGCTCTCGTCAGTCGGTCCCTCTGGGTTCTGTCAGCATCTCTGCTCGTCTGCTCAGACCTCCTGTTAGACCTCTGTTCACACTGAGACTGGTTCTGCTGGAGGCTTATTTCTTTTAAAAATAGATTTTCCTCTCCACTGTCCCTGCATGCATGCTCGGTTTGAGGAATTGCTGCAGAGCTAACGTATCTTCATCTAGGAGGAGCAAATTCTTGTTAACTACAAGAACTGATGATGATATAATGATGATGATATAATGATGATGATGATGATGATGATGATATAATGATGATGATGATGATGATGATGATATAATGATGATGATGATTATAATGATGATGATCATGATGATTATGATGATGATGATGATATAATGATGATGATGATCATGATGATATAATGATGATGATGATGATGATGATGATATAATGATGATGATGATGATATGATGATGATGATGATGATGATATAATGATGATGATGATGATGATGATATAATGATGATGATGATGATGATGATATAATGA